CGGCCGCTCGGGCCCTTGGGGAACCCGGAACCGCAAGCCCCGCCCCGGCAGCTCGAGGCGCGGCGGAAGCCTACAGCTCCCGGCGGGCTCTGCGGCGCGCGGCCCCAGCCGGGCCCGTTCCCATGGAGACAGCGGTCCGCTAGGCGTACAAAATGGCGCCCGAGGCGCGAGGCGACTTCGCCCACAGAGGGCGGGCCAGGCTCCGGTGCGGGCGGGGTGTGCTGAGACGCGGCAGCGGGCGGGCCGGCCTGGGGTCTGCGGAGAGAATAGACTGAGGAGGGGCCTGATGGCGACTGCAGCTCCTCACAGGGAGCGGAGGGCAGCGCTGAGCTCTGCTCTGTGTGACAGCGACGCGGCCCGAGGGAACGGCGTGGAGCTGCGTCAGGGGAGGGGCAGTGGGGTTAGGGACAGGGTCTGCAGCACAGGGCGTGGAGCGGGATGCACGGGGCAGCGGGCACGGCCCTGAGTGCCGGAGTTCAAGGAGAGCTGGAATGCTGCATGGCAGCTACAAACAGTGGCTATAAATTCTCTCTCTGCTTATCTCTGCTGCCTAAGAAAAATGCAGTCTGTCTTTTCCAAGAGCACTTAGCTGCGCTATCTCTCTGCCTCTAACGTATTTGCAAACTCTGTGACCATCTGCAGCCTCTGGCAATTTTTTTAAAGGCTGTTATTACTGCACTTGCACAACCCAATTATGCAGTACTGCTCTAATTATATTCAGGAGTCAAACAGGAGAGTCCTTATGAAAGCACGAGTTCCCTTTTCTTATCGAGCACCATTTATGGTCTTCCAGGGAAAGCTGTACTTCTTGTTACTGACTGATCCAATTTATGGTCCTTTATCTCCAAGTCAGTGTCAGTGACACCCAAAGGTTTCTTCGGTGCTTATCAGAAGGCTGTGAAAGCTCTTCCTCCTTTGTACTTACAAAGAGGTTCTGTACACAGCGACACTTGGGCTCCTAGGGAAAGGTTTCAAGCATCTTTTTTTTTTCAGATTTTCATCTGACATACAAGTAGCCTGGAGAACAAGCCCGGAATGAATAGGAATGTTTTCCCAATAGCATCAGCTTTGTTACTGAAAGAAAAGGAAATATTTGGTGCTGCTACAAAAGGAAGGCGAGTGAACTCCTGTGATGTACTGGAGCTGTCAATGAGGAAACGCCTCGTGCTGCCAAGGTGAGTTGAGGTGAAAGTGGTGGCAGGCCAGGATGTGATCAAAGGTCCTCTGAATTGCACTGGCAGTTCTTGGAGCTAAACGTACCCATTTATTTATTTATTTATTTAGACGTCACAAGTTTGTTCTACCCCTTTCCCTCCCTTCTTCAATTTTGCTTCTTCCTGTTGTGAACGTGACAGTTTAGCAAAGCTTGACATTAAAACCCCGGCATGTAAAATGCAGCAGACAAAATTTTATGAAGCATGCCCAGCTGGAAGGTGGTAGTTCAGGTTTATAAGGCCCTGGTTTCAAATTGGAGTGTCGGTGCCATTAGAAAAAAGTGCACTGCACTGAATACTGATACAGGGGCGGTCAGATCACGCTGGTAAGGAAAGCTGCAGGCACGGACTTTAATACAAAAGGCTGCAGCTGAGATTCAGTATCAAAATGTAACACAATTCCTTTAAAACACAGAATTCCTTTTAAAAAATTAAAGGTTGTGTGGGGAAAACGGGATTGAAAAATGATACACACGGTAACAAATGGGGCACTTAAGAACTACCATCTTTATTCAGGGCAATTTGAGGTTGGTCACAATTGTTATAGCACCATTGAAAGACATCAGACTTTTTTTCGCTTTCAACCTTTCTAACAATGCAAAATGGAGTTAAGGCTGGCAAATTGTGCATCTTTTCACACCCAAAACAACAAACAAAAGAGGAGGTCTATAAAGACAGCAAAACACAACAGTGTTACCAGTATTAGCACACATTTCAGTATAAAATCACTCAACACACAGTTCTGAAACATTTAAAATGTTGACAGAATATATAGAAAAGGCTAAAAGGCATACTGAAAATATGCCAGCGTTAAAATACGCTCACTGTCTGGAACTGTAGTGGCGCTATGCTTGTCAACAGAGATGTGTAAATGGAATTATTTTCTCAGTCACGTCCAAGTACTGCAGCTCCTGTGCTTAAATGCAGACTGTGTACACCCCAGCCAAACTACACGGCGTTACCTACGTGCACACATACATGCACACTCTCCCTAGCAGAGGCTTGGTTCCAACGGATGCACTGAGTGCCTGATGTCAGCTCCCACAGTGGGATCCAGATCCCAAAGGGCTCCACGAGCTGAGCAGGGCTGCCAGCACGGTGCTTAAACTCACCCATCAGGATGATTCCAGGATAGTAGCTGTGATTTCTGTCCTGAGGTGCTCCACTCAGGGCCACAAGGATGCATCTCCTGTTCCTCTGACATGTGCTCCCTGCTGCGAGCAACTGAGCAGGGCGTTTTTGCTTTGAAACCATGGTGTCCATATTTTATACATTAAGAATGTGATCAAAGCCTTCATCTATGGGTGGGCAGCTCAGTATTCTGCTGGGCTGCCTCAGCCTCCTCTGCCACTCCATGAAATGCCTTCTCCATCAGGCAATGGCTGCTCAAAGGTTTAATGCAGGGACAAGGTATGAGAAGCACCATCCATATACAACAGGATGTGCATTGGCTTTGAAAATCCAGTGTCTTCAGTGAGAATTCAGGAATGTACACATCCAAACATGATGCATCAGGAGCCAAGAGGAAAGCATCAAATGCTTACCTCACCTGATCTCAAACAGACCCTCACATATGACCACAGAACAGAACTTGTGGCAATGCCACCTTTGACTCTACAATGGAGGGGGGTCCATGAAGAGTCACTGGAAATAAGTAGAATTTTTGAATGGTAAAAAAGGCATTTGAGATCTCTGATACTTCGACAGTCTGCAAATACATAATCAGAATAAATCCAACAATAATTTTTATAAATTTTGCTTTGTATACTGTTGAATAGCATAGATGAAAATAAGAATATGAAGCCTTGGCACTACTTCAGACTCCTTGCCAAGCAGATTTAAGAAGATTTCCAAGGACCTCAGTACCTACTGAGAGGGCATCACAACTGTCAGCCATATAAACCATCAAACCAAACCCTTGCTCAAAATCAGTTTTGCTTTTGAGATCCAGTGTATGCAGTCACAGCACAGAGTAGGACTGCAGCTTGAATCATAACTGAAGCTGTTTCTGCCCAGTATCTTCTAGAAGCTTACCCTGAAAGTACCCAATGGAAAAAAGGAAGAGGGTTATTCTGTTTATACGGTGAGACAGCAATGTATATGAAAGCACGAACTTCTTAAGAGAGAGATACATCTGCATCTCAGAATGATTTAAGGGTTTCTGTTGAACTGAAGCAGTATTTTCATTACAGAATCCATCCCCATAAGGAGTAGATCTGACACACATCACCAAAATGAGAGTTCAATAGATTCCCTATGACCAGGCTTCCACTCCTGAAATTAAATGCAATTACAAAAAAGTTACATTTATTCAGATGAAACAAAATCAAATATTTGGTGCTTTTTCCTCCCAGTTTTCAAAATAACAAACATTTCTACACCGTGCTGTCATTTTTTCTAAAGTGTACCAACCCGCTGCTGCTTGTGATGGACATTTCTCTCTTATTTTTTTGAAAGGGGAGATGGATTGGCAATCTCACTTTCACAGCCTCAAGGCACTCAGTATGTCTTTATGCAAGTTTCTCAATGCTTAATTAGTCTCACTGCCAACAATCTGAATTTTACTTCCTATTTGACTACTTCTTATCTAATTTTAGGATGCAATCCTCTCACGCTTCTGTCTAATGCAGACTTTTTTCTATTGGACATTCATTTCCCCAGTAGACGTGAGCTGGCAGTAGAGATGCTATCAGAATTCTCATGCATTCATTTTTTTAAAAGCCTTTTCTGAAATCCCATTTTTTTGAAGTCTTTTCAGTTGCAGCACCGTTGTGAAACAAGCACTGGCATCAGCAATAGGTTCAGTATTCCGACAGCACTGCACCAACTTAACTTCATGAGCCCTAGCTCTGCATCCGCTACCTGACATCCTGATTTCAGCATCTGTTTCTAAACCACTGCTCTGGTCATTGCTATGTGATCATTCCCTCTGAGTTCCCTTCCCAAGGCCACTGTCTGGGATTTTTGTTTTGCTTTGTTTTTAAATGCAGTTGATTTGGAGAAGATAATTCACGTATTTAGTTACTCGAATATGAACATTTGAATTTTTATGTATGGATACGTTTCTAAAGGGTCTAACAATAATTAATCCACATTAGTGTTACATTCCTTCGGTATCATTTAAAAATCTTAACAACACTTGCTTTATATCCTCTCCTGGCTACAATTACATCAAGATGTCTCATCATGACAGTTTCAAGTCACGTTAATGCTAAAAAGCAGCCTTAGTGTCATTAAAAACTCCCAAAGCTACAACACATGAAGTGTAAGACTCACGGTGAATATTCATTTGTCGTAAAGCAAAAGGAAACGAGAGGTCTTTAATCATACTCAATCAGCAGAACCCATTGCACGGCCCACACACTCGGTAATACTGATCTGCAGAGATAGGCCAGACTGGAACAGCATGAGCTGCTGTTATCGCTTCTGTACTAAAGGCAGCATTTGGTACTTGCTTTAATTAGCAACACTATTGATGTTTTAATGAAATTCTCAGGAGCACTTGGGACATGGAGAAGCACGAGTCCCAGCGAACCCAAAGGGATGGCTGCTGTAAGGATTGTTTTCCACCTCTAAGTCCCGCTGATCTACTCCATTAACTTTGTAAAATCCAATTCCTTCCAACATTCCATGAGACAAGAACTGAAATTCTACAATACAAACTATCAGTGCTGGTCTTCGATAGTTGGGATGCTCTGCGTGATTCCATTTAAGACTTCTTTAAGCTGACAGATGTAAACATTTCAAGTAATAGCACTGCTAATAGAGTGTTTCAGATCACAAGCATTCGTGAGCTTTCTTGGCAGTTTACTGCAATGCTGAAAAACGGAAAAACAACAGAAATAGAGGAGACATCAAGTGATACAATTTTAAAACAGTATCCCTCTGTGGTTCACGTAAAGAGCAGGCACTGCCACTTATTAAAAGTGCATTTCAGGGGGCGCTTTGTCTTTAGATCACATTCAGTTTACTCTCTGCTATGACACTCCTGAAGACTACAGAAATGCTCAATGCACACGACGTAAAGAATATTCAGGCATTCCCACTGCACTGTTCATCCACACCCACTGATAAGCAACACGCTTGGAAGTGTTTTTAAGATAAACTGTCTTGTTTTCATCTGAAAGTATCATGTTTTCAAATATTTTTCAGAGGAGATATCCAGAAATACACGCCTGACAAACAGTACATAACACCTAAGAACACATAAGCAATCGGGACATACTATAGTATGATAAGCAACCAATAGGATGTGCAAAGACATTTCTTTATGTCTGAATACAGAGCTGTGAAGACCTAAAATAAAGCTGCATGTTCACTTAGTGCAAATATCTTGTTGAGCGTTGTTTTAATAGCTCCCCTTCCACGTGTCAAGAACGATTTCATATTATTGCACTTAGGATGTATCTTTAAAGCTGTCTCAGTTTTAAGGGGAAAAAAACAAAAACCTGAAGGGAACAACAGGATAATTTGAAATTTAGGCTAATTCACAATCCTGCTCTGAAGTATTGCTGTCAGTACAATCTCAAAACCACCATCAGGAATTGTGACGCTTAGGTGAAAACATAATATACACATCAATAGCATTGTGTTACCAAAAAGTATCAAGAATCTGTAATTCAGCAGCTGTACTTCCAAATGTGTTTGCATTCTAAGCTCAGTTTGTGCATATCCAAAGCCTGGTTCCATCCAAAATGTCATCTCTTTGTTCAGGCTACTGTGAAAAGGTGAATCAATGCAAAAAGTGAATGATTAAACTGAGCCATCTGGGGGTTTTAGAGAAAACAAAACAGATGTTTAATAATTTAACTTTGTAATGCTAAATGATTTCAGCGAGAGCGAAAGGAATCTAAAATATGCATATTCACATTCATAGAATCATAGAATCACTAAGTTTGGAAAAGACCTCAAGATCATCCTGTCCAACCATCCACCTACCACCAGTATTTCCCCACTAAATAGAATCATGATACAGAATTCTGAAAGACTGTAAAACAGCACAAGAAACTTCAAAAATGAAATCAGTTTTAAGAGCTACTAAATGTTCCAGTATAAAACACCCCTGGGTGTGCCTGCATTGAGTGGAGCACACAAGTTATTGAAGAGTCCTGGGTCAGTGAACCAAACACAGCTTCCATACTTCCAAGAAATACATTCTGATGAATTAGAAAAATATTCTCTTCACACACAGAATCACTACGCATGTACACACTAATGCTGCAAAACTTCAAATACTCTGAAAATGTGGCTTGAAATCAAACTCAATGACTCCTCAAAAGAAGTTCAGGTATAAAAGAGTAGTTTTGCAATTTCAGCAGTTCAGAACATCTTTAGTATCATGTAGTATCTTCAGCCAAAAAGCAGAAATGTAGCTTTGGTAGAAGAAAGTCCATCTTGTATAGGAAAAGAAAGCATCAAACACCTGATTCCATTTCTTTGACTGGCTTTTCCGTAGCATCTGACACCAAAGTGCTTTCATTTTCCAGCATTTTCTCAGTAGTTTCTCCATCAACGGGTTTTGCCCTTTCTTTCAACTTATGTCGTTCATGGACCCAGGGGATGATGCACAATATCGCTCCGCCGATAAGTGGGGGGACTCCCGCCAGGTAGAATGCCACATCGTAGGTACCGAGGCGATCACGAAGCAAACCTGGAAAGACAAAGTAAAATCACTACAGTGATGCTTTTGAAATACACAAAGGTCACGTATGTCTGAAGCAAACTTTTCAAAAGTCCAGTAAATCAATAGGCCAGAAGCATCAGTTATATTCGTCATATATTCTGGAGCTTAGATAGAAAAAATCCAATGTAAATGCAATGCATATGATATAGGAACAGACAATTTGGCAACTACAGAAGCCTATTTACGGCTACAGACCATGTTTATTCTCACCTGCAATGGGTGGACCAACTGTCATAGGTATTGACATGAGTCCAAGGAGAAATCCTATGGCCTGGGAGACATCCTGAGCCCCAACAAGCTCAAAGGCAATAGGAGCCATAATGCAAATGAAACACCCATCAAACAGGCCCATGAAGAGACAGACAGCAATGAGACCTCCGAAGACGTGGCACACCGGAATCATCATCGACATCAAGCCAATAAAGAAGAATGATGCCACCTAAACATGACCAAAGAAGAATATAAAAACATATTGCATCAACTCAGCCAAAATAACTGGAAGAGATGAGCTTTCTTGCATACGTGGACAATTCATATTTACTTTAAAATAAATAAGCACACATTACCACTATTAGAAATTCAAAAGCAAATAAAACAAACACTTGGAACTGCCATAATATGCAATTAAAGAGATTCCACAGCTCGTTTCTCAATTTTCCCAGAGCACACTTGCACCCACAGGTACTGTGTAAGGGCATCATTTCCTGCGCGCCAACATGTCGTGCAAAATTGCTCTACGCTCTTCTCACAAAGAAAACCCACAAAGATATTAAAAAGAAAAAATCACACAACTAAAATGCACTGTAATTGGACTCCTCACTGTTCTAAGTTAAGTAACAATATCAGTGCTTATATTCAGAGATGGCACCTGAAAGTTTCATTTCAATCTTTCCATAAAAAGGCATCTTGCTGTATTTCTATCGCCGTGTTTATCTTTGCATATTTTTAATCTTTTAAGATCCTAAGCAGTGAATTTCATTATTGCTATTTGCAGTAAATTAAAGGAATAAATCCATCTTTCAACAAAACGAAGCAGAAGTCATTTCAAAGAAAATCAAAGAAAGTTTTGCTGATGCACCATTCTTATGTCAGCATGGAAACCCAATGCCCCACCTTTCCAAACAAGGCACACACACTATGCATTGCTCACCCATAGAACAAGACAAGACAAACAAAGTCCCTCCCAGACATCACAACTTTTTGAACAGTAAGTGACATCAAATAAATGAGTTCATTATGAAAAATCTTCGAGAAGACAACTAGGTGAGAATTTTCAGGACAGTATAGAAATTACCTTTGGGCACTGTAATTTATTTAGCATACTAAGGAAAACATTTGAAATATTGCACAGATAGAGGAACTACTGGAGAACTGGGCTTCTTAAAGGAATTGAAGGGTAGAAGTGAAGAAGTTCTCAGTTCTTTGTATTCTGATACATAAAATACAAATAAAAAGATGTATTTATAACCAAGAAATTGTATAGTTATATGTAGACAAACAAGATGCTGTTGACCGGGTTAGTCATATTATCATATTAAGATTACACACATCACTAAAGCCAGAATCTCTATGCTTTACCTGGAAGAGGTAGAATGTATAATTTTAGTAGTAAATATATCACTTACAAAGCAAAATCCAGCAAAAGAGCTCTTTGAGGAGCACAGAAAGAGAAAGCTGAAGGTTGATTTTACAGGACAGAGCTCTTGTAAGTTGTTCAACTGTAAGGGAGAACAGTTCTAAGAGGAAAGAACTTTCATCTGCATTGGTTCTTAAATAGTTTTGCACAAGATAAGATGATTGTATGAACTGTTGGGTGACCCAGATTGACCACTTGTGAATATTCACTTCCCCTCCAGAAAACACTCATTTGAAACAGGAGAGCTGAAGATGAAGAGACAGAGCTTTGCAAGTTTTTCCTCCCTTAAAATTTGGTGAAAGCAATGTTACTTAAAAGCAACAGAATTCACATGTTAAGCAGATCCCTGGTCTTTCAGTTCCATCCAGCAAAAAGAATAAAAAAGCTTGCAGAGTTTTACTGCAAGTTTGACATGTATTTCACAAAAATAATGGAAGGTATCAGTGCACTGTAAATCATGTAACACCTCAATGCTATCTTTTCACTTTTCAATTCAATATTGAAATTTCCTAAGACTGTAACAATAGATTAGGCTCCAGGCTCTTTCATCAGGGAGTGTAAATGCATGTGACTATGGCAACAGACACTTCAGAAAGTTGGTTCTTTCTCAGTTATTTTTGCTCTGAGTAATGTAGTACAGAGAATAGCCATCAGATGTCTCCCTTGTTACTTCTCATTTAAAAAAAAAACAACAAAACAAGAACACTCAGGAGTTGGTAACATGCAAGTTACAGCTTTCTCAAAAAAAAAAAAAAAAAGGAACCCACAAACTGCCACCTTCTCAAAAAACAGTGCTCATAAGCGTGGATGGAATGGGTATCCATCTTCCTTCCATCTTCGTTCTCAAGCTTCTGCATTTCTGGAAACTGAAGGAGTGGTGCTTTACCTCCTCCATGTGACTGTGAATAACCTACTTCACACAGCAAAAGCTTCTCAGCTAAGCACCTGTAATAGTCTCTTTGGCCATATCAGCACGTGCTACGCACTGAACAAATGCTACACCAAGATGGCACCTAAGAAACAACAGGAAAGGAGAACAGGAAAATCCTTAATGGAGGAACTTGAAGAAATCAGTAACTATCAAGAAGTTACGGATAAAACTGGAAAAGAAGAACCTACAGAATCACCAAAGGTTTCCTCACTCAGTAACCACAGTTTCTCAGTATAAGAATCAAAAAAAGACCAGGAGAAAGATTCACAAATTTTGCATCAGGGGCCCACGAGTATCAGCAGCCAGACTGCTGCCTAGAGTGCTGAAATCTCTCAGGCTTAACATTTTCAGCCACTTTATTGTTTACTTACCTACCTGCAATCAAAGCCTTCAGAATGCTTTTTGTGTACATATATTCCTTCAAAACCACGTGAAGACATACCTGTAAATAAACTTTTTTTGCACCAGGAATATAATCCGCAACTCTGCCAAAGATCAATCGGCCAATTCCTGAAGTAACGCCCAGGCACAGCAGAAGCACTTCTTCTTGCACACTGTCACCAAATCTGTCTTCCACATGTTTCATCTGTTTGAAAAGAGGGTTCAGAAAGTTAACTTGTTTTAAAATGAAGAGAAAACCATTAAATTTTTGAGTTAGAGGTGAGCTGTGAATCTGTGACTTCAAATATGGCCACAACCAACTTGCATATTCTGCTTGGGCAGGAAGGTTTTTTGCACTGGGTTACCAGTATCAAGCACAACACAATGAGAAGAACCTGAGAATGTGTTTTCACTTCATTCACATGTAAGGACCTTCATTCAAGAAAGCAACAAGGCTAATACCACAAGTTAAAATCTCAGAAACACTCCCCCAGCCACATTTCGTGCACTAGCAAAGGAAGAAGCATAATACTGAATCCACGAACAATCTTTATTGGTTAGGGCATACTGAGGTCCCAAAGCACTGAATCAATAACGAGTATCAGCACTGTCCTAATCTGTGCATTAAGACAGACACGGATCCTACCAAATTTACAACAAAGTTCAAGGGAGGAGCAAGAAGTAAAAGGGCAGAGTGCAGAGGCAGACAGTGCAGACAGGAGGGGCCCTCGTCCCAGCATCCAGAGACCAGGAGAAAGAGGAGCAGGAACCCTCTGCAATGCCAAAAGCAGGCAGGGCCTTCCAGGAGTGCGAACGTTAACAGCAACAGAGAGTAGGGCAGGCAGACAGACTGGAGAAATAGTTTCACAAGCCACTCTGACCTAAAGCACTACAGCAACTGACCTCCAGTTCTGCCAGTAGGACATCAAATGCAGATGTGATGAATTAACAGTATCAGTAATTCCAACCTTCTGAGTCACGTAAAAGGAAAAAAAAAAAATCACAAGACTGACTAGATGGATGGATTTGGGTTTCCTTTACACTGTTTTTGGAATCGCAAGGAATAGCTTTTATGAGTTTTATAGCACAAGAATTCCATGTCATTGTTTGTTGTTGTTGTTGTTTTGGGGTGGGTTTCATGATTTGTTTCTTGGGGGAGGGTGTTAAATCAGCCACAAAAACCAGAAATTACCCAGAACACAGACTTTTGCATTAACCACTTTTTGAAATGCTGCTGGCAACACCAAGTATGTCAAAGTATGCATGAAGAGATGCAGAAATTATTTGTGTAATCCTGTGACCTCTATGCTCATAACTACTGCTGAAAAAGAAACTGAGAAGACTCAGAGGTGTGAAGAAGCAGACTGAAGAAACTGATTTTTAAGAAATGATGCACTCACCTTGCCTCAGGTTTTTTTCTACAGACTGACAGACCTTACTAGTAAAAAGTCAGAGCAGTTTTTGTTATTAATAATTGTGATTCTGTGACCTATTCCCACACAGGGAGGTGGTGGAGTCACCGTCCCTGCAGGTGTTCAAAAAATGTGTGGATGTTGAATGGGGACATGGTTTAGTGGGGAAATGGTGGTGGTAGGTGGATGGTTGGACTGGATGGTCTTGGAGGTCTTTTCCAACCTTGGTGATTCTATGATTCTACAGTTTTGAACTACAGAATCCTTATTCCCTGATATAAAGTACTCAAGAGACTCTTGTTAATACACAAGCTGAGCTTTTTTCCCCCCAGCATAAGCATGGTTTTCTAAGCTATGGCTGATTTTCTTAAATATAAAACCAGATGCCTTTTGTTTACATGTCACAGAAAACTATTAAATCTAATATCAATTTGTCTAATATGTAATTGATTTTGTCAGAAAACAAGAAAAATAAGAGGTGTGTTTGTTTTGTTTTTAAGCATAAAATCTAGCTTCAGAGGAAATACACTTGCTATTCCTATTTTTGACAACTTTTTTCTTGTTCTTGGGAACAAAATCTGAATTTTTCTTCTGGAGTGACATTCAAACAAGCTGCTGCATTAAATCCTTCCTGTGAAAGGGGAGAAGAAAAGCTGGCAGTTTCCCATCCCCACCTTTATGCTTCTGTCAACACCTGCCGGCTGAGCTGGCAGAGAAACCTTGGAATTTTCTGCCGTTCTTCTCACCTGTTCCACTTTCATGTTTCTGCAGCCTCTAGGTTGTTTAATTAGCAGACCTCATTTATCCACTCCCCAGAGGCTTTTCAAGAGGTAAGATAAAGCTCTATGTCTAGATAACTATTAACCCTGTACCCACAACTGAGCAACCGGCTTTCTCAAAGCAACGCTCCCAGGGTGAAATGCTGCCCTCTCAGGTCAGCGGGGTGGGGTGAGGGAAGATACTAGATCCAGCCAACTGAAGTAGGAAAATAACTGCTACTTATCTTGAGCTTCATGCATCTAAATTAGTATTTAAGTTCACTCCTCTTAAGAGCACCACAAGCTCCAAGAGTGCTTCCAGCTAGATGTAGCAAGACACCTCCATGGGAGGACATAGGCAGTGGAGCAGGCTATCCGGAGAGGTTTTCCAGACCCAGCCAGTGTGACCTGAAGGCTGACTTACTCTGCTCTGATCAGCAGTTGGACCAGAGATCTCCGGGATGTCCCCCCATCTCAGTTATCCTCTGATCCTACCCCATGCTCCTTAACAGCACATTCAGTTTCCAGTGTTACAGTCACTAGCTAAAAACATAAGTAAAGCAGCACTAACTGAATATCTGAAAAGACACTGGTTCAGAATTTATCCAGTATTGTAAGTGCTAACTAATTATGGAATTAGAGACACATCCTGTAACTATAATTTAAATACACTTATTTACAATGAAGCAACCTAAACAGAAAGACTCCAGCATTCAAGATTTCCACATTTTTAACTGACAAAACTATTCAAAAATCCCATGATGGATAATGGCTTATGGACCCTCCCAGACAGCATGTCATGCATCAACACACTCTTGCCATTGTAGAACCATACATGTTAAAGTTACATGACTTCTGAGGCAGTCAAATGGGGACCCAAGCACCCAGCAGACACCAAGGCCAAAGCACAGATTCTGTCCAGGCTCAGTAACATACCTAGCTCTTCCCATTACAGCTGTGTGCATGGTGAATTGCAAATCTAATTTTTTCAAGAGTAGAAGAAACCTGCAATTTTGCCTGAGCTAACTAGTACAAACAATGCAGATCCAAAGGAAGGCATTCTGAAGGAAATCTAGCGTTGCAGATCTCTGAACAGTGAGTTGTGACACAAGTTCTGCCACACTTCCAAATTACAAAGGCTGTAAGTTTGCAAATAAAACAAAGGAATTATCAAATTGTCTGCTTCTCCCCCCACCCCCATTTATTCCAATTTTAGAGTACACAGCGTTTTTCCAAAGGAAGTTGAGATTCTTTTTTCCATGCTACAGAAAGAAGAATGGAACTGAGTCAGCTAAAAGTCTGCATGATTTGCCAGACTAACACTATTTTAGAAGAAGTTGTCTTTGTATAATCCCATTTTCCAAATCAAGATGTAGACGTATACAATAGAATTGAATACATGCCTGGCACCAGCATTCTACCTTACAGTCGTGTTCTCCGTATCAGGGCAACACACAGATCTTACTGTACAAATCCTCATTCGTTTTAGGATAAGACTAAAATAACAATTAGTCACATGGTAGTGGCTGTAAGGGTTATTGAAGAACTCTCTCAGGTAACTCTCCATCCAGTAAAGACACAGATTTTGGCAAGACCTTCTATTCAATGCATACACATGTAGCTATGTGCAGGCAGCGAATCCATGATGCAGGGGGGGAAAAATCCATGTACTGATCCAGTTCTTTTCTCCAGCCACAAGAACCAAAGAACACAAATTTGAAAGAAATAATAAATGGGTAAGAATTTTTTTTTCTCTATCAATTCCTTTCCTCCTGGGTATATTCCACTTGGGGAATTCCCAATCAAATAAAACTTTAGTAGGTTAAATGCAGCATAATCTCTTTCTCACTGAAAAAGATGGCCAACAGCAAAATATAACCTAGAAAAGTTTGAACACGATCAAAAGCTCATATTAAAAAAATGCTACAAGTCCTGATGTCTGGCATTACTCTTACACTGATTTTAAATGAAAGAAAGGAAACGTTCACAGAGATTGCTGTTACAATATGCAAATTGGATATAATATTCCAGCAAAACCTATCTGTTACAAATTCACAGTTTTCTGAAGGAGCTGGGGGTTCTCTTGGTAAAAGGACAGTGCACACAAACTTTGCATTCCTTAGGGTTTTCAGAAGAACGTAAGTTCTAATAGACAACCAAAGTAAAACTGATTTCTTGAAATGGCAAGTGGTGAAACATGACTACAAGTATCTAAGATGCAGATGTGCATGAGATGTCAACTGCCCCAGAAGGCTGAAAGTTTCAGGATGTACTGAAAAACATAGTGTGAAATAACTCTAGATAAATCACTGTTTACTCTATCAGAGAAGAACATACGCACACAAAAAAAGAGCAAAAATACGTGGAGAAATCAGTTGTCAGAAAATTCTATGATAGTAGGCACATGGAAGATCATTTAAGGCAAATACATTTCTGATACAGACTCTACTGATGAAATGATATTTACTGATGACCAAAAGAAGAGCAAAGGGACAGAATTCCCCCGTCCTGGAGGCATTCGAGGCCAGGCTGGATGTGGCTCTGGGCAGCCTGGTCTGGTGGTTGGCAACCCTACACATAGCAGGGAGGTTGAAACTGGATGATCACCGTGGTCCTTTTCAACCCAGGCCGTTCTGTGATTCTATGAATTTCTGAAATACTATCGACTTCTGAACATTAACTGAATAAGTGACTGACATGCCAGAAGGCATGAAATAGTACTGTTAATACCTACTGTAGAATGATAGCACTCCCTTAGCAATGGATCTCAGATGGATAAAGGAACTTCTTCTGCTTTTTTTTTTTTTTTTTTTTTTTTAAGAAATGGACTGAATTCACATGACAAGAATGTGACAACTTGGACAACTTGCAGATAACTCCTGTTTATGCACTTGCTACAGCAGTGATAGTTCCTCTTTATAGCTCTGGTCAACTTAATCTACATAACAACAGAAGAATAACAGGAATTAACAGTGATTATTACATGATAATCAGGGATTTTTCTATTATTCCACCAAATAAAGCAGATGAAGTAG